CACACACACACACACACACACACACTCTCACACACACACACACACACACACACACTCTAATCTAAAGGTTACTTCTTAAATTAAGTTTTAATAATCAAGACCGCATCTGTGTAAACCTTAAAATTAGTTCAAAACCTTGAAATAGCAATTTCTCCAATATTACTTATGAACCCTTCCCTGATGTTCCAACAGTAACAAGTTTATCTCTTGTTAAAGCCCATCTCCCAGCCTCACTCCACAACCTATCAAATTTTATCCAGGATTCTGAAGAAGTTTAAAGAGAAAGGAAAAGGTGAAGAAGGAGACAATAAGTTTCAGTTTAAAGCAAAGGTGTCTTTAAACTCCCCCAGTATTCATGGTGGAGGGGTAAAGTCAGCAGTAATGGGAAGGCAAGCGGTTACACTACAGCAATTAGTAAAGTAGAGGCACAAACTATACACCTGCTGTCTCCATTTTCACCCTCCCCCAAAGTAAAAAACCACTTAAAGAAGACTGCAGCAGACACGCAGCAGTCCTCATCACAGTGTAGAGAGCTGTTAGAAGAAACAGGAAACCCACTTAAAACTCAACTGTCAACACCAGAGAACTTCTATCAAAGGTGTGTGTTTTGTTATTTAACAAACAGCACTTTTAACTTTTTCACACTTATCCACTTGCTAAGCACTATTTTTTTAATCATCATGAATCAGGAAATGGGCTTTAAGTGTGTTTTCATTATTGTGCTGAGTCAGCAATGCTGGTGCACCCATGTTAATTCTTTCATCACCAACACTTGCTTCTAAAAATAAAACATTTTACTATTACTGCATGCACACTGTGGGTGTGCACAGTTGCAAGCATGCCATGTCAGGCGTGTGGTGAAGTAACTTTGAGGAGTTTGTGTTCTCTACACGGGTTCTGAAAATCGAACTCGGGTTGTTGGGCTCTTGTACAGCAAGCACCTTTACCAGTGGCTGACCCATCTCACCAGCTTGTGTTTTCTAGAGTTATGAGAACAACAGAGGACATTCATTTCTTAAAATTAACTAGGCATCTCCCTGTTCGTTTCTTATATCAACAAAGTTCTTGATCTGATGGCAACACCAGCATGGAAAATGTGACCTACTAGAAGATGCTTTCAGAGGACTTCCCAAGTCTACGGGCAAGCCTGCAGGAGGCTCCCAGGGAACCAGTGTCTACCCAGTGGAATTCATATCCTTCAACACTAACACCACTGTGGTCCGAGTTGTCTTATCATCATTTAATCTTCTTGTTAAATTAAGACTGCAGTTCTTTTCTCCTAAGTCTTGTTACATGCAAATTCTTGCCATGTTCTTGGAGACTCACCTATCTTTGCAGGTGTACTTTTCCAACATCTCAGTCCTATCCTAGTTTCTTTCTTCTCACTTCCTTACGAATTTATAAAGTTCTACCCAATTCAGAGTTCCAAGTTCAAATTCTGTTAGAAGGCTTGCTTGGTTTGAGGTTCATTATGTAGCCTACGCTAGCTCTGAACTTGTGGCAATCCTGACATAGCATCTGAGTACTAGAATTACAGGAGTGGTTACCACACCCTGCTCTAAAGAGTTTAAACTAAGAAACATCACCCTTAGCCACATTCCTCTATTCTTGCTGCCCACTGTCAGAGACTCAAGAAAATTACTTAGAATTCTTAATTAGCGGTTTCTGTAGGTATTTTTGTTTCTAGATAACAAACTGTATTATTATTAATTGGCCTTCTAGTACTACGGACTGTCTGATGCCTATGGGTTTTGATTTTCGATCATGGTATCCTCTGGCAGGGCGGGGCCTAGAGACTGGTCAGTTTCAGGGGCTTCCTGAAGCTATTCTAAGATGTTTACCTTCCTGCTGAGGGAGCTTCCTGCAGGATGTAATGTTTTAATCTTGGAGGAAACTGTTAGAAAACATCCCACCCCTCCCCTCCTGTTGGTTTTTTTGTTTTTGTTTTTCTCTCAGACAGGGTTTCTCTGTAGCTTTGGAGCTTGTCCTGGAACTCACTCTGTAGACCAGGCTGGTCTAGAACTCACAGAGATCTGTCTGCCTCTGTCTGGGATTAAAGGTGTGCGCTACCACCACCCGGTCCTTCCCTCTTGTTCTTACATTTTTCTTCTGCCCCCTCAGCAATGATCCCTGAACCTTGGAGGGGATAACTACAGATGTCCACCTATTACTAAAAATAGGCCCCTATGTCACAGTTACTGTCATTAGTTCTCAGGAGCTTCACCAGTGGTTACAAGTTGAGTTTATCTACAAACATAGACATATTAGAAGACACTTTAGACAGTTTGACAGGGACATCACACCCATCTAGAAAAACCACATAAGTTGCTTCCCAGCTGGCACCTGTCCCCAGCCATAGGTTTTGATCTGGTTTACAGTACTAGGCTTGAATCCTGCTTGTGGAGTGGGATTTAAGTCCAATCCAGTTCTTACCCACAATAGCCAAACCACTGTTGTATGAGCAGGCACATTCTGCCTGGCACTTTGGTGTTTCAGCATGACAGGTCCATAGCCAAGCACCAATGCTTGTGACAGTTCTCCCAGCAGCCTGCATGGCCCAGTAGGGTGGCAGTTCCCAGTGTAGTCCCCCAGGTTAATTTCTCCATGTCCTGCAGTCAGATCATGCTCATGTGGTGTCCTTAGCAACAAGGGCTTACCATCTAGTGTGGCATACAACCAACAGCAGTAGCTATAAAGGTTTGTGGGGCCTCAGGGACTTCCCTGGCCAACAACAGGAAGGTAGCCCACCCCTGGCACTGGGTTTCCCATTCAATAACTTTTAGGTCCCTGGGAGAATCCTTTTCCACCCATGTAGTGTAGCTTTGGATTTTTTTTCCTCTTTTTGATTAACCCAGCCCCAGCAGGGCTATAAGGTATGCAGAAGTACCAGTGCATCTCAAAACACTTGGAAGTTAGCATCACGCAACCTACACAACAGTCTTTCCCAGAGGATACAAAGGGCAAGGAAACATCTGGAATACCATCCCATAACAAATGGTGGAGTTACAAAGATAATCTTGGTGAAGCACTCTGAAAGTCTACTGCCACTTGTTCTCAGCAAGTGACAGGTGACCCCAGAAGTGAACAATTAAGAAGATACTAAAGTCAAACATAAGCAACATGGGAAGGCTCCATCCGTTTGTTTCAATTGCTTCTTCCACAGATCAAGGTTGGGCACAAAGCATGGACAGACAGAGCTAACTTAATAGTTCCCTGTAATCGTTAGTCATTCTCTGAGCCATTGTGTTTCCATATCCTGGAGCCCTTCCAAGGAGCCTCCCAATACTTCTCCACAACTAATGAACACAGACCTCCTCAGGCCAAAGGGGAATGTGGTCTTGCTTTCCCTATTGCACCTGCTGGCTCCCTGGGCCGCACAGGCCCTGGTTTGTGGATGGAGCTGTAGCTTTTGCCTCCTCATTGACCACACCTGGCTGTTGGGGGAGTTCCTGATTGGGCAAACTATGTCCACCACTAGCCTAACTTTCCTGGAGGGAAACACACCCTCCCCAGTCTGGGGGGATAATTAGCTACCTGGAATAGGCTTGATCATCTTTACCTGTAATGCTCTATCATGGCTAAGATGTCTTAGGCTTTAAGGCCTTCCAGAAGTCCCTGAGCACACAATTGGCTTTATAACATTTTTTTTTTCCCTTAGGAACTCCGGCTGGACACAAATCTTGTTACATTTGTCTTCGAGGAACCCCCAACAGACCACCTCCTCTGCTTTACTGTTTTCTTTTTCATTTCTTTTTGGTTTTTCGAGACAGGGTATCTCTGTGTACCCCTGGCTGTCCTGGAACTCACTATGTAGACAGGCTGACCTCGAACTCAGAGATCCACCTGCCTCTGCCTCCTAAGTGCTGGGATCACAGGTATGCACCACCACCACCCAGCTATCATTCTCTTATCTCCTCTAGGTTTTCTTAATAAACAAATACTCTTTACATACTGGTATAAGTTATTGACATCTGTCAAAACTGTAAAATTGTTCCTATTTTATAAAGATCTTGCCCCAATAAAGGCCACTAAAGCTCCATACCAGCCTTGAGGTCCCCGCTGATCCAACCAACCTTTTCTTTAACACAGTTCTATCTGGCTAAGTAAACTGGGGTTCAAACACAGCTTCTCCTAGTCCTAGTTCCCCCAAAAGTGTCTGTCCCTTCTCTATGGTCCCCCAACCCTGCTATTTGTAGGGATCACAGATGGAGATAACCAAGTATTCCTAATGGCTTTGGTGGGGCCTGACTTCCCTCGCACAGTCTCACAGCCTTTCGTTTTACTCAGTTTGTCTGCCTCCAGACTGGTCCCATCCATTCCCATGTCCTGCGCCTCACAAGCCAGGCTGAGGCAGGCCTTTTCTCTTCCCTGACTCTGGCAGCTCAGGTGCCAAATATTTCCTGACCACTCTAGCTTCCTACACAGGACCATGGCTAAGTTCCCCATCTGCACACTGGATCACACATTTCCCCCTTTTCTATTTAAGAATGGATCGGAGGGCTCTTCTATCACTTTCACCACCTCTCATCCTCCCGTTCATCTACTTTACTTGCCACAGGCAGAGATGGAGGATGCTGCAGCATCCCCTTGTTCTAACTGTTTACACAAACAAGGTCCTACTTGGCCACCATCTTTGCCTCAGATGCATTTCTAATAACACACAACAGAGGCCAGGCAACCTCTGCTGTTGCTTGCTGACAATCTCAACCCTCTTGCAGTAATCTCAAAAGACTGTTAAGATTTCCTCTAAACTTTTAACTGTTTTCATGGCAACTCCATATTCATGTGCTGGCCCCCACTCATCAAGCAAGTGTGCTACCCCATTTCACACAGATGA